TGATGGGAAACACACGGCGATTACAACTGAGATGGAAAAAAAATGTACAAAATTATGTAAAAATAAATTGTTATAAAAAAAAATATTACCTACCAACTTCACCAGTATACTAGTTTTAAAAGAGATAGTAACAGTATTTATGGGGAAAGACAAATTTGAGAATTTTCTAACTAAGAGGATTAGCAATCTACTCCATGTCCTCCCATGCACAGAAATGGAGACAAACCAGTACAACTCTCAGAGGCTGCATACACCTGAGGTCAACTAAGAGAAAAGTGAATTCCACTTTTTTCCCCACAAAATTGCTACCTATTGTTTCTCACAAATCAGGTTCAATAATGCTTTTACTGTACTTTTCTATTACTGTATAAGATTCATGACCCTTTAATATTCTCTTCAGAACTTTACTGCCACACAAAATATCGTAACCTTTATTGAATCTTACATTGTTTGGTTTTTAAAATATTTCCCTCAAAAGGAAATGTAGCAAACATATTCTTGAATTAAACTGTATGTCAACACTGCCTCCTAGTGGCACAGCGAATTATGGGAAAAAAAGAAATTCAACCCCCTCCAAGTACATTCATTTTTTTCACCAGAAATCTTACCCGTTAGAAGGAAAGGTTCATTTTATACCGACAAATTCCTGTTAAATATCCATTTCTTAGCAGTTAAGATACACAGTCAGGGCTAGAGGGACTGTAGGGGTCAAGAACCTGAACTCTCTCTTTTAAGGATAAGATTACTAAGGCAAGGTGCCAAGTCAGAAAGGACTTCTGGCTTATTAGTCCAAGCCTACTAAGAAAAACTGCTTTAGCTTGGATTCTTGGTAGGAGATTGGAACCAGGACAAAGGGTTCACAAACAAAATATCTCATCCTTGAGTGAAGAAAGAAAGATCCTGGTGTTGCTGGGAGTCACCATAAACTCATTCTATAAACCTTTTGCAGATTATGTTCTACTATTTCACACTGTAGCAAAGCAAGTTTGGGTAAACAAGCCAATGGAGACAGACCCCCAACACGAAGAGATCAAAAACTTCAGTTCCAAGTTTATCCAGAAGAGGGCAGCAGGTCATCAGCAGGGACTGCTTCAGTAACTTGTTTTGAATCTTAAGCCATTTCATAAAAATAAACTGTAATATTGTAATATTAGTTGACAGAAATATCTGTAGCCCTCATTTTTTGTTTTGATCAGCTTTTCCCAAAGATACATGAATCTATGAATCATATCCAGAATAACTCACTCAACAAGGAAAACTTGATGTCTCTAACCAAATCCCCATTTTCCCCAGTTTGGAACACAGTGATTTTCTGAGAGCACTACACAGATATTTCTGGTCCCTACCACACACCAAAAAACCCCTCCCTGTTAGTCAGCAACATCCCTGGAACCTTTCCTGTGTTAGTTGCCAGGTATATGACACTGATTCTTACACAACTGAGGAGGAAAAAGTCCATTTAATTAAAGAGAAAAAATAAAGGAGCTCAACAAACTGCTTCAGGAGTATTATACCTGTCATGTGCTAAACAGAGATAACATGATCCAATATTTCTAAACACCCTTAGGAACAAATGAATGTTCTGTGTTTGAAGAGAAAATGTGTGAAGGCAGCCAATACAAAGACTTCTCACAGGTGGTGACTGAACAGGCTGGGTCATTTGTCGAAAATTGGTGGTACATGGTGAGGGAAAAGAAAGAACCAGAGAATGCTTTCCATTTCCTAGCAGCTGGAGGCATTTTGTTGGCCTTGAGTAAATGAAAAATTAAGGGTATGTAAAGTCAGAAAGACAGATGTCATCATTTGTGCTGCTGTGCACGACAGAAATAATGCCATACAGCAAAACAAAACAGGCCAATTTATATGCCACTAAATCAGAGGATAATTATAATACATGGTCTAACTGAAATATTTGTGAAAGTTCCTTATGTAAATTATACAATA